AGACTGACTGAGTAAGTCTTTCTGAAAGCGGCTAAATTTTCTATGTAATGCAACTATACGTCTTGAAATCCCAGTGTGTAGCACACGGCAAATAGCAGGGGTTCAAGATAAAGCCTGTCCTGCTGTCCTAAAAAAACCTTTCGTTGAGACAGATACCTGTCATAGCTGGCTTGTAAATAAAGATGTTAACACATCACCATAATAAAGAAAGGTGCTTTCCGATTGGAGCATGCATTTTCCATCTTACTTTTAATCTTAAGTTTTCATTTGGCAAGACATTGACCTAGTCTCTTCTCTCTATACTTGATAAGCTATACTACTAAATTTTCCAACAGACACAACGAAATGAGCAAGGCAACACATCTGAATATCGAATTCTTGAAGGAGGACACCGACAAAAAAAATTTAATCTGTTTGCACAGTAAACATCTGTATTGAGTGGATGACAGTTTTATTTTTATCATTTTTTTTGTCTGAACAGCCTGGAGTACCATTAATTAATTACCAACGGATAGATGTGGGTATATTGTCTTGATAATTCAATCCATCATACCTAGCCCATAATCAGATGGCACTTATAACATTTATAACTGCCAGTGTCACCTGTGCATCCACACACGTGCATCAATAACCAATTTTTAGCCCCTTCGATTTTATTTTAATAAATACATACTGCTGTTTGCTTTAAAATACAATAATACTTGATATAGCTGCTATCACCCATAGGGTCAAGACCCATTTTCAACTTGAACACTATTTTGTTTTCAAGCTTCAAATTTATGCTGATTTGAAAACGTTCCCCAGTTAACCTGAAGAAATTATTAAAAAAATGCTCTATTGGGAACTGTGCACTGTCTGTGACTCCTGCCAATTGCACTAATGCTGTGACAAAGTTTGAAAAGTGCCAAACATACAGTACAGCCAAAGCGCTAACCAAAATTGGTTCAATATCTTGTTTTGCCGTCTCATAAAAATATTGTACCATTTTAAAATAAGTGGCCAGTTCATTGACAGGTCAACAAATCAACGTAGAAACCTTCACACATTGCAGTTTTCTTGGTTCATCATGTTTAAATTATAAAAGATTTTTTTAAAAACTCTAAAATTAAAATAGTTTTGTTGACAATTAACATACATGATTCTCAATTTTAGGAACGAGTTAGAACTTATTACCATTTCCATGATTACTACCGGTTGTGCATCCAAAACTACCCATGTAAGGAATATCAACTACCGTAACAACCAGGATCTAGTCTGTAAACGCAGTTCTCAGTTGCTAGTTCCGGTGTCAAAAAATAAGATAAAATAAGTCTGTGGCAGAGATCAGAAGATCTATGACAAAATAGTGACTCAGATAACGTCTGCATGACTAAACCCATGAAACTCTTTTCTTTAAATAGTTGTAAATCTGAACATTGAATCTCAATGACTTTACAGAGTGTAGTTTGGATCTAATTATTTATTTATTTATTTATTTATTACAAACTCCAACAGATTCAAATGCAGTACAGTATCATAACTCAAACTACCGTTAACAGTAACAGGAGCAGTTTTAGTGTTAGGTGAAAACATTAAAAAAATTCTACAATAAGAACTACATTAAAAACGAATCTTCTTAGGATTGTTTTTTTTTTAAATTGAAAATTTAAGCAATAATAATTGTACAGTACGTGATTAAAAAGTGAATTTTAGACAAATTACATCCCTCTACCTAGTTCATCTTTGGCAGGTTTCGCGACTAGGAATATGTAATTAAAAAAATTGCGACTTAATCTTTGTGGCACATAAACCCATGCAAGGAAAACAATTTGAAATCATCATCATTATAGACTCATCGATCAGGTAGTGATCAAGAAATTATTATATCCTAATGTAAAAAAACAAAACATTATACCATTCAATGAACAGTAACACCAAAAAATGTTCAGTTCAAATGACCGGAGAATATTTTAATTTCTGTGGAATCAAAAAAGAAAAATACATGGGAGTAAGTGGCAGCTACCTAGAGACAAGGCTATACATACATACACAGCTGTTGGATGGGGCCCTGCAGCTAGGAAATGTAAACACCAACCATAGAGACTGTCTGGGTGGAATCAGTTTGAAATATCTCCTCATAGGCTAGTAGCATGTATGTGAATGAGACAGACAATACTTGATTAGAATCTTCTTTAAAAAAAAAAAAACAAGCTCACGATGGTGTGGTATTTTTAGATTCATAAATGCCCTTAGGTGAACTGATGAATTGCTATTTTTTTTCTAAGCATATTCTTGACTATCAAGTGAAGGTCATATGACCCAATCACTGATGAAATAAAAATATCAATGAAAAACAGATTAAATTCCATAATTTTTAACTTTCAACTAGGTAATATGAAAAACAAGGTGAAAATTATCAAGTCAGCGATAAAAAATAATTCCCTCAGACGCAAAATTTTGATATTTCACTTAAAACATGATATTTTGACAAGGGACTGTTGCTGGATAATTACCCCGTCCTGGCCTCCAATACTGTCTAGCTGTATTCAATGCATTGATGCATGGTTAGTATGTTTCTAATAATAGGGTGCGTTGCACCTGATGCCATTTGGCTGATTTCAATGGAAGGTTCTTGTCACAGCTGGTGCTGACCGCTAGACACCATATAGATTTCCAAAACCTTACCAATACTGGGGATGAGTTGGAATAAAAAAGATCACTCTTCTCCAATTGTGTAGACAATATCGTCAAATAATGCTGCAATTGTTTTAATCAGTCGGTTCAAATTAGGGACATTGACAGTAGAACAGGTTATTTTTATTTACTCTTTATTGTTTTCTTTTTATGGTTTATTGTTTGTTTGAATAGAGGAGATTCTTAATTTGTTTAAATGTTTTAGCATGAGTGAGTGAGAGAGAGGAAGCTAAAATATTGGAGGAAAGAAAACTGCTGGAATAGAGCTTTAAACATGTGTGATGATGAAAGGAAGTCATCACTGTTTTATTTGCTAATTATACCGCTACTTTCGATTTTTGAATTTCAGCAAATTGTCAGGGCTGTCAACAACAAAAATGTGTTTTGCCCTATTTCTTTTGGGGTTTTTTAATACCCAATAAACACATTTGACAAATTCCAACTATCACTCTGAGTGATTTTAAAGGATCAACTACACCATAATAGTGTATATTTCAATAAAAATTGTCAAAAGGGTCAGACAGATTACAGTAATCAAAGGCTGACTAGACAACTAAATGACCATCCAGACTGCTAATTACACAACTTTGCTTGGCTAAGCAGGAACAAGCTATGAATACTGAAGTGGGAGGTTACTGCACGGACAAAAGTCAGAAATAAATAAAAAACAAATCCAAGACAGGACAAACTGTGGGCAGATAGATGGTGTTTCTTTTTCACAGTCACGCACCAGCAGCCGAACTTCAAGAGCGAGAGCGACAAAGAAGACAAAATAAGACTACGGCTGTGACAGCATCCATACGATGGTATGCGCATGAGCAAGCTAGCGTGCCATGCACGTTCACATAAATGATCCACAAATTTGCAATTCAGCTGTGGCAAAGTTGAAAGCTGCGTGGATTTAACATGTAAATGACACCAGGCATACACTGGCCAACACCGTTCACTGCACAGAGGTCGTAACAGACTGACAAACCTTTTCACCTGGTAATTTGACCTACACTCTCCGCTAACATCCCATACTATAGTGGTGCAGACTTGCTGACAATGAAACCAATAGTTATTTTAAAACCAGATTTCACGCCCACATGTTTCATTTACCAACCCAGGAAGGAAAAAGGAGGAAAGCACCATGAAATAAAGTAACATTTACACACACAACAAATCAAAGGAATCAAAAGTGAACTTTGGTAGTTACATGACAGTTTAAGAACGCTTAATTTCACAGATTACATAGTTATTTTACCTGTCAGTACATACATGTATCTGCTTATCCTGTGCATAGTGGTATACCTTACTATATGAATAGTGTAATCTATTTTTATTTTTTGAGCACTCAAAATGTAATATTCAAAAAGCATTTCTAACTTTTTTTTTATATATACCTTATAGTTATATTCTATGTGAAAACAGTCATATCAGATTTCTCTTAGAAACGTTTCTTTTTGTTTTTTTAAATTTTACTATGCTTCATTAAAAGCTAACTACATTTCCAAAGGTGCACAAGGAATTTAAATAAATTTATTGTAATTTTTATTATTTTTCAAGGACACTGATAATCTGCTTATAAATAGTAGCGACATTTTGCTGCCGCCAACGCCGCCGCCAACCACGCAGCATGGTACAAGCCGTCAACGCAAGATGGGAAGTGGAACACGGAAGGAAATAATGACATTGAGCACACTCAAGTACTCAATAAATATGGTTAGTTTGCTGTCGTTGGTGATTATAAAACAAGGGGACTGAGAGCAAGATTATTTCAAGTTATTTTACAACATATTAAATTACATTTTTTCATTTCTTTGAGCATTGAAAAGCAATACCCAAGATTTAGACTAATTTAATAAATACAGCAGACAAACACTGGGACGGCAATGAGAAAGGAATAAAAACATTCAAAAATTCATCTTTATAATTAGAATTAAGCAAAAACCATCACACACATAGCACAAATGATTAAATATTGGGAAATAAAAGGATTTGATTCAATTGGAGAGTTGTAATTTTTCATTTCCCTGTATCAAATGAGGAAGAAAAAAAAAAAACAAGTTTGCCAGCTCCAGCTGATCAAAACAACGCCACATGTATGTATGTTATAACTATTATGACCATTTTATGAGGAGAAAAAAAAATTAATCTTGATGACGTCAAATGAATGAAAAGTTTAAAGGTGGGACTCTTATCGAGTGGCAATAGATAAACATTGCTAAAGCAACTATAGTTTTATATCATCGTACCATGTAATGGATATCATCAAAACACGCATACACTCAAAAAAAAAAAACATTGCAACAGCCACCTAAAATATATACAGAGCGTTCACCTACGTTTCATAGTTCTTGTTTTAACAGTGCTTTTCTCGTTTGGTATGTATGGGGCTATTTCACGTTTGACCCAGAGTACCCGACAACTGGAAGACATGTTTTCCGGCACGGCAACAGTTTCTTGCCGGAAGACCATTGAAACTTCGACTCGTAGAGCACAGCTGAGAGACAGTCTAAAAAATCTACACTGTGGTTTATCCGATGAGTGGTTTTATAATTTCCTGAGGAAGAACCGGGATAGTCCAGGTGTGAATAAATAAACTCCACCATCGGAAAGGCTGGCAGTGACATTAGCTATCCACATAACTGTAAACAGTCAGCCGAACATGACAGGCAGGCAGGCAGGCAGCAGTGATGATGGCGATGAAAAAACTAGTCAGGATTTTACAACACGCCTAGGAGTACATTACAAGCATAGTGCTCTTATCTCTTTCCCAGCTGTTAAGTTACGCTTCTCCTAATTGGCTGAATTGACAGGTAATAAACCATCCTACTGCAATTACAACCAATCACGTTAAGGCTTAGTGTTTGAACCTTGCTATCAGCTAACCTGTCTGAATGATTGAAGTGGCACAAAGCAGTAATTTATTCTAACAGAGATAAGGGGGCGGGACCTTTCCTGTTGCAATGTGGGGCTGTAATGATAGCAGGCAGATAGTATTCAAGCAAGCAATTTCGGAAACTGGCATTTACATCACGAGTTACTTCAATCTCATGCAGCTTTCATTCAATTTGAACAATATATGCTCAAACTTAAGCAAAAAATCAAAACAATTTGAGAGTGATTATCAACTCCACAATGCTGGCATTTGGTAGGGACTTACTGTGTTCTACAATAATAAGGACTATTCCATTTACTGAATTGGGGTATGATTGTGTCCTCTTTCAAGATGGGATGGGATGGGATGCGTATAATAACAATTTTTTTTCCTGGTAATTTTTTAATGTTTTTTTTTTTCAGAATCACGTCATATGCTGCAATCAGGATTATTGTGGAGTGTGACAACTGCCCCATTGAGGGGTAAATGCCAATCCCCTATTCTAAAACTTGATTTTTGGTGACATTCTTGGCATACTTTGTAGTCAAACACATTCAAATGCAAAAGAGAACACATTAGTTCATGTGAGGCACAGGCAGTCAAAGTCCCTAATGATGATGGGCACCCAAAGTGGCGCGCCACTGAAAGAGGAGAGGTGATTGTTCAATTTTGAAGAGAAGTGAAGCAATTGTATGGAATAAGGATGTTTAAAAGTCGACAGGTCATCTATTTTTTTGCCAGTGGCTGACAAGTTTACTGTGACCTTATGTACACAAAGCAGGAATTAATGACATGTTTATGGTCTCCTGTAAACATTGTTAATTGGTATTGAATGGTGTACTGTGGAATACTTTATTTTCACTGGAATTAATTTTCGCTGAAAAGGCTTTTTGGGCGTTTTGTTTGGAATTTATTTTCACTGATTTTTGATGAGTTTAATGTGAAATATAGGGAAAAAAGTATATTCGCTGGATTTTATTTTCACGGAATCATCCCTTCAGCGAAAATAGCGAAAATAAATTCCGAGCGAAAATAAAGTATTCTACAGTAAATCATTTCAACTGCTTGGACAGGTTGGCAAAGTGAATTAGAGGTGAACATGATCATGATTATTGGTATTATTGATTGACTTGAATGAAAGTGAAAACCTTCCAGGAACACTGCACGGCAGGGGGTTTACCCATAGTCCACCACACGTTCAGAACAATCTAAAGTTAGATATTCTAGAAATACACTCACAATAGAAGAGATCAGTGGAAAACCCTGGCACAGTGAACTAAATGTACAAGTAAATGTACAAGGATGTACAGAAATGTCCTAGGCACTTGTTTATAGATTTGCATATTCACGTATATAGCATTACAACTACTGTATCAAACTAGTAAATAAACATCTGTAATCATTCACTACAAAAACAGTGTAATAATTTTGTGGTGTGTCAGGGAATGCAAATAACAATTACCTGATACTTCCATGAATGCAGACAAATTCAAATTCATAATCTTGCTCGATTCTGGGCTTCATTTAAAGGGGAGCCGCTCAATCCCATGGATTGCACCAAAGAAGCATGGGACACTATTGTTTATGTTGTTTACAAAGTTAATCTATCTTTTGTTATAAATTGTAATTTTAATCCAGAAAGTAAATTCGTTGTGAGATGAGGCTTAACTGGGAGTGCCCCTTTAATATAAGTGAATCAACAAGAGGTAAAATAATAAGGTTATTGCGAGGATACTGCAAAATATGTACTCAGACACGACAAGTTGTAACAATCTCCGCAAAATCTGAGCACAGGCTATTCTTTCATGGTGGATGCAACGGGAGTATAATGCTGTTACCTCACATACATCCAAAATAAATTGCATGGCTATGTTGAATACCCTTTTTTCCTGACGAAATTTGGGTGGAAGTTTTTGCACATACAATGTATCCATACAGGCCTTGATGAAAAATAAATATGGGAAAATTTATGCATGATAATATTTATTTTGTGGATTGTGACAAAAGTTGATTACTATACGAAAATTTCTCTAAAAGAGGCAGGTTGGTAGGAAATTGTCGTTGAGCTAAGTATGTTTCAGGAAAGTAGAGTGAGTACATACAATGTACATATGTTACACTCGAAAAATTTGCTACTTTTTTTTAAATGATGGACAATTCTCAGTTTCGCTAAAGACTACTATGCCTGTAATCTGTTGTCATATAAGTCTTGGATGATATAGGGTTGTTACAATACATATTGTCAGCAAGGTCACCTAATTACCATAGTTTAGTTCAGGTCAAGGCCAATCACATTCCTTGCATATGTCCATGACATACATTTTGAACAGTGGTACACATAGTAAACATGCACATCGTAATCTCCAGTTTTATCACATTAAATGATTTATTGAATTTTCCCCTACAACTGAATAACTGTGCCAGTTCATCAGCATATAGCGCCCTCAAAACCTTTTCAAATGCAACCAAATGCTGGACAAGTACTAGAGAAAGATCATAAAAATCAAAAGATGCCAGCTTATTTCAATTCCACTAAAAATTATGCATCTAGAATTAAACAATTATTGAAATAACATAGAAAAATATGTACTTGCAACCTAAAAACAGATAAATTGCATTGCCACATCAAACTAATGACATATGTTCCCTAAAGCATTAATGCACAAAAAAAAACGATATTTAGATTAATCTGCTCTGTGTTATGGAGTGATAGACCAGATCAGGAAATCTATATAAATTTTAATAATGGATTATTCAATAATTGATATTATGTTTTATATGTGAAAGTGTACAAAATGTTGGAGTGAAAGATTATGTATGACATCCGAAAAATACTGAAAGATGCGCATCATTTCTCAGAAAATATGAAGCAAATAGACTTTCACCAATCAATTTTCACTTGAAAACTACACAGACAATAGGCTGTGGTACTCAACACAGTACTGTAAAATCTGTATTAGAAACCGTGGCTTCTAATAAAATGGTACAATGCAACAGAGGGGATGCGACTTCTATTAGAGCATCTACACATATGAGAAATTGTGAATGTTTGGTTCTCAATTGTTTAAAAAGAATAGGTGCGACTTCTATTAGGGATGTGGCTTCTAATACAGATTTTACGGTACTTTGAAACATAGAGATTATTCATCAAGCTCCTAACTGGGTTTGACTGAAGACGACAATTAGTAAATTCTTAATCTCAAGACAATTCCGTATAACCTTGATCTTAGGAGTTCAATTTCAAATTATGTAGTGGCTTGACCTCCCCTTGGGACACAAAATACAGAAATTCAAGCATGAAGCTACAAGGGCAAATAAATAGTGGGTTTTCCCCACGCAATCCTTCTTACCCATATTTTCGAGAAAATCAAAAAGTTTATTTCATGCGAATGAGCTCAAAAATATTTACTTTGAAACTTATTAGTTATGAACATTCTAACAATTTTGGAATTTTAGTTTCATTTACTTTCAAACCATGATTATGTTCAAAAAATAACATAAGAGTACAGACGACTAAGCAGCATGAAACTAACAAAACTTACTTTTAGTTCGTTCTTACGCTGTGAAGTGCATCCCTAAGGGAATAAATTGTATTTATTATATACTGGATAATTAAAATATGATTTTGTACGTAAAATCACCTAATAGAGCAGATACAAAAGAACTACAAATGGCTGAGGTGGGGGCAGACATTTGTCTGGGTTAATGCCCATACCAACAACTGAGAGGTTCTTTGATTCAGTCTGGTGTGCAATGATCCAGATAAAAGAGTGTATTTGTGTAAAAAGCTAAGATATCTCAATAACACTGCACAGCCTCAAGGACGTTTTCACAGAAGACTGCCAGAGACTCAAAGTTTTATTAATGCCCCCAGTGTTTACATTTACTTGACAGCAGTAGCAATAGGGTAACCTATCAGTAAACACTGATGCTCAGTGATGTTAATACCAATTTGCTTCATTAGTATGTGTCGCGTATGTGCCAACGTAAATTACAGAAGTGTTTCTATGGTCAAAATACGCAACATTTTGAAGAAGCTGTATACAAAAAATTAAATTATTGGTTTATTAGCTATCTAATATAAAAGGGCTTCTGATAGAGCAAATACCATACAGATATTATTATTCTTATTGTATTTTACTTTCACTTAGGTTTAATTTTTTGTATTTTCATTGAAAGAATGGGTCAGGGAAAATAATTCCAGCTAAAATAAAGTATTTTACAGTCCTAAACGGGTAAAGAACAGAAACAAACAAGTTCTGTCCAGGCTTGAAATCAGCAGCAGCAGCTATCATTGACCTTCAAATAAGCCCAGTTTGACTTTGAAATGAAGTGCCATCAAAATACTGAAGTTCAAGTCTTGTTTCTTGATTTGAACAAACACAAACATCCCGACAAGTAATTCTGATTTTTTTTTTCACATGTCATTATTAATAACATGTATACACTGTTTCTTACGCATAGGTTATTTCAAAGTGAGCCGAGGACAATCCATTCTGTGGCAGTCAGCCCCCAAAAAATAATCAGTCATTGTGCCAAACAGGATATGTATTTCACTGTAATGTGATTCGATACAATTGAAAACAAAAATGAAATAAATGCCGATCTTTATAACTGGCACGGATTTCACACAATACAAAAGGTTAAACAAAAGTCACATGCTGGATGCTAAAAGTTTAGAGTTCATACACAGGCCAGAGTCAAGTCTATCATTCTGGATGGCAAAATTGCGTATTGATAAGGGTGGGGTAGAGGTAGTTTGAACAGGATGGTTTGTGCAGGGTGATCTATTTTGCGCCATAATTTTAATTGCTATAAAATATAGAGAATAAGAGAAGTTGAAAAGGAAGTTAAT